GGAGCGCTCCGCAGCTATGGCTCAAAACCGTGGAAAAGTTAGAATGAATAATCAAACTTGTCTCTGAATAGTAGTCCTTGAAAAAGGATAAATTCTTAGGATGAAAAAGGGTTAAAAATTAGCAGGAACTGTAGGCAGAAGAACAACCAGCGGTTAAAATCTGCTGCGATTTTGTAGTTAAAGATATAGCCCACGTTTGATGTTCCCACGCTTTCTTTGGACGTAGTAGCCGTCCTAACAAAGATCAAGGGTGCACTAATTTCGCGACTTGAAAATTCACAGTGCATCAGTACGTCATCGATCTCGATCTCAGCACCATTTCAGCGGAAACAAACTTTTTTGTATATGTTTTCGCAAACAGATGAGCTATCAATTCAATCGCACCATTCAATCGTAGCGCCAGTCACGTTGCCTCTACTCGTCGAAATCTCTCCGCGAATTTTTTTTACTGGTTACTTGGAAAAGAAAAAAAGGCTGATTTTCAGCAACATTACGTGGGGCAACCGCGAATCGTCATTTCTCAACATTGATGTACTGAACAGTACTTCAAATCCGCGGTCACATAATTCGAAATAAATTATCTTTTCCCACTGGAGCTTATTGCAGAAACTCCCCATTTGGCATGAATAACCTGCCTTTACTTGAGCTGTTCGGGGACACCTTTCGTGATTGCTGGGTAGGCAGCGCCAGGGAACGAAGTCATTGAAGCACCATTCTCAAACCCCTATGCAATAAAGAAGACGGATAAGGAAGTGGAGCACCAACGTCGCCGAGACGTCGTTTTCCGGCAACCCTGCAATTCAGAACGGGGTTTCCTCGAATAATATAGGTCGTTGAGAAAAATTCATTTCTGGAGGAAATGTATGGTGGCCTTTTTATACCCAGGACTCCTTTCCAATATATTTCTCGCTTAAGGTGTCATTATATTTGCGTCAGCTAACATAACATGTACTAACTCATAATATAAGCTCACCTTGTGCCGTTTATGTTCGCGATCCTTCTCCTTTCCTTCAGCCTTCCTCTTTTGCCGCCGAGATTCATCCGACTTATCTTTGGACCTCTCCTAAAAAACCTAGCTCACATATCAGCTCAAGAGGAATTTTCTTGTTCATGCATCATTTTGATCGTCAAGGGAGCACATCATATTTCTTAACTGAAAACACGACCGAACCTTGTGCCCTTCCTTTTTCTCTTTGTCTCGTTTCTTCTCCTGTTTTTCGAGTTTCGGCATCGCTTGCATTGGAATCGACTTCGTTTTCTGCGCGTCCACCGATGGGGATGCTCGTGATGGTACTTTTGGAATCTGAACAATTTGGCGTGCAAAAAGTGAAAGACGGGAAATGGTATGTAAAAATTCGACGGACAACTTCAACAAAAGCATAAAGAACTGCGGAAGTGTTCACGCAAGGTTTCAGACAATCCTTGTAATACTTGGGGAAAATCCCACCTTCAATATCAGCTTGCTAGCGCCTTCTATCTTCACAGTTGGTGTCGTGTTCTGAGTTCCTTCGGTTGAAGACGCTTGTTCTCGTCCTGTTTCCGAAGTTACTCGAGGCGATGACGTGCTCGCCTGGAGATGTGAAAATGATTAGGAATCGTTTCTAGGGTTATCTAATGCTTGTCTTTCCAATAATAAGCATACAATTCGCTGAACCCTGGTGAAACATGTCCAACTAAAAGACCTTCACGATCAAGCTGAAAACAGCGAGCAAGAAATGTTGATTACATTGAAAAAAACTACTAAAATGCAATAGCGCAACCAAAGGGGGAATGCTATGTGGGTGGTCTCCGATTCGCAGAATGTACACCGCTTGAAAAACCTCAAGCAGATGGCCAGCGATTAGAATTGTGTCACCGCACTTTCTTGGACGTTATATCCATCGAAGCGTGCTATACGCAACTGAGTACTTCGTTCAATAAAAAACAGTCAGACTAACTTTCGCTGAGATGTCCCCTTTTCTCAACAGTTTATAACCTCGCAAAACGCCAAATGAGGGAATAATATCACCTTCGAAAGGGAGCAGCAAAGGGGGCCAGGGCAGTGTCGGCGCACGGCGATCTGGGGGCATTTTGCATTTTGCTACTTCCCATCGACGTGTCGACCCATCTAGACAGCCTCTCTCGAGTTGACAGGTTTACCATGATGGCTTGACGAGCTTGCTCCAGCTTCACAAGAGTTCACAGGTTTCACCAGAGTGAGACTTGTAAACCGGAACTACTGAAGCAACGAAAAGCAAAATGCCCCCTTCCCTCGTGGCCAAATTCTGCGCCAGGGGCTACTTTCCTACCAGGGCCACAACTGACTTTAGTCGATTTTTCTTCGATACGAGAATTCGTCCTGACTATTCTGCTTGCAATACTAGTTTTCAACTTCAACACGAATTACATGCACCTACAACTCTGAATTCTAACAACTAACAATATGTATAAGAGTGCCTCCATCTAGAATTTCCCGGAATCATCTGACTGGAAACGGACAAGTCACTATGGCTGGATACGTGGCGTATCCCAAAAGCGCTGAAAACGCCAAGCACATCACCTTTCTTATACTTTTGATAACAGGGCACGTCTAACGCTGAGATTCACAGAGCAGGCAGAGCAGCAGTATTCGATTGCTGGAGGGTCGTCTTTGGCTAGAAATTTCTTTAGATGTTCATTTTCACATTCTGACATCCACATGTGTCCGTTTCACGAGCACTATCCCCCCCCTCGCCTTGGTCCGTAACTCAACAATTTTCACTGCTGATCGGAAAGAACCTTCCAGCTCGGTGTCGCATTTCCGATACTCTCCAACGCCATTACGTGCCTTTCTCGATGAACGCTGCTGAAAAAGGAACAAGCTTGTGCCACTCACCCTGTGCATCCTGGTCCTTACCATGCGCAAGGCAAATGGGTCCGAAGCTGTAGTAGCGTGTCACTTTCTCTTCCCAAAAAGGCATGGGAACAGGTCTGGAGGGTGTGAAAACCCAGGTGCCCGTTCTGTGTTCAGCCCATGCTGGCAAGTGGCCAGTCACACGCCTGACCATAGCCAAACCCTACTTGTCTGCGCCCTCTGAATATCTAGTTCTTCTCTAGGTCTGACTCTGTGTTCGCAGTCAGAGGTTTGGCATCGACGCAAGTGCCGCTCCATGAGGATTAGGTGGGCGGAGTCGGGACACAGGCTCCATCACTATTCTTCGGCCTTATCTCCATGTGCTCACACAATGACGAAAGTGTTACGCTTTAGCAGCTGTCAAATCTTCCTCTCACACATCGCAAGGACTGTACTCGCAAATGGAAGTGCAGTTCTTCTTGAAATCTCTGATTTCTAACACGCTTCTTTGGTACAGTTGACAAATTACCTGAGTGGTCACAGTGACGGGTTGCAAAGGCGATGCACTGACTGAAGTACTTGAAAGAGGTGTTGACGCTACTGTAGAAGCAGCTGAGATGCGCTCTTCAGGTGGTGGAGGAGATTCTGTTCCATCGTCGTAAAGATCGCTAGAATAGACAACGTAGAGATCTACAATGGAGTAACACTATTCATCTGTGGACAAACCCTCTTATTATCGCTTGCACACTCACTTGAAAACGCTTCTCTTCGGCGGAGGAGTGCTTTGGGATGGCGTAGATGTTTTTAGTCGTCCGACAACCGCATCAAGACTGGTCTTTCGCGGTTGATTTGCTCGTGGCGAAGGAAGTGGCGCAGGCTGGCTTACTGTTGGCGAAGCTGCTGCGAGAGGAGAAGGAGGAGGATGAGTGGAGGATGACGGCGTACCAACAGGAACGCACAGAGGACTCATCGACTAAAAAATTCGTACGTTATTCGTTTATTGAAGTCTTTCCGGGTATCCACATGACGTCTGGCCTCGTTCAGGGCGAATCACGGCAATAAGGAAACTTTTCTCCGAAAAGAACTTACATGTGAGGGACTATTCGCAGCTGAGGCCGCCGCAACTTGACTTGTTGCAGGTGAACGCGACGGGAACATCGCCAACGATTTCGGAGGTGGCGGTGGATCACATTCATCATCCGATTCGGTATCGACATAAGGAGAAGTTGACACTCCAAGCATACCTCACAAAAGAAATGTTTCGGGAAAAACATGTCATTGTTACAGAAGTCGGATTTCACTCACCTGGATTAGACATCTGTTCGTAATCACTGTACGATCTCTGCAGAGGAGGAGGCACTCGCTGCTGCATTTCCAGTTCAGCGTGCGACATTGCTAACGCCGCTTTACGAGAACCACGCGGACGGCGTACTCCAGTTTTCCCTGAGAATGTCACCAAGGTTACGTAGAGCCATTGAAATGAGGCAAGCCATAATACATGGGTGTGTGTTGCTATAAAAATGAAGAATCGCCATGGGTCTACGAAACAAGTGGTCAACTGGGAATTGTGGGGTGAAAGAGACGGCAAATCAAGTCTCTCGGTCAGGTCCTTCAGCCGCACTGCGTTTCCGCCGCCCCACGACATCACTGGAGTGATGCTAAGGCCTAAATGAGGAACCTACAAAGGACTCATCAATTGTTCTACGAGCCTCTCCTTTCGCTGGCGCAGCAGGACCTTTTTAAGCCTTGTTTTTTTGAAAGTTTCACCACAATTCAATTATGCAAACAGAAATTCTGTTTAGTCCAATAGGACCTGTTGAATTGTACTAATTTAGAAACTCAGCTGAGTGAAACGAGACTAAGGGTCAGAATAACTCTAGTGAACATGTTAACCGCCCTCCGGAGAAATATACCAGTTGCGGGTTGACGATGGCCTGGCCATTTGAGACTTTCACGACTCCCGGTAAAAGGAGAAGGAAGGCAGACTATTTAGGACCACACGACAACGCGTGCTTCAGCGCACGCTCGTGACAAAAACATTGCGTCACTGAATAAGATGGTGTTCGCTTCAGTTTCCAGCTCTTCACCCTGGTGGGACCTGAACTGTCAGGACCATCAGACCATTTCATTTGCATATAGAGTGATTAGCACTTATGGTGCAGGAAAACTACATGGATTCTGTTTCCCTGCTAAACACTGACCATTTGACTCCCACAATGATTCTAAATAGCACGGACTGTGGCCGTGGATTCTTTGAGACTTTGACAGATATTAAAATAAAAAAATTACCGCAGGCGAACAAAAGTGGAAGACGTTAAAAAACGTTCAGTTCTGGGAAATTCAGCATTGATTGTGATAGTTATGGATGCCTTCAGGTATAGAGGAAGTGGAAAAAAGAATTGTTCCATTTGCTCGATGGTACTCACCGCGAGGTTTCCGCGTAGGAATACCAGCCATCGCGGGATCTTTTCCAGCTGATTGTTGAATATCACCCATCCTATCTCCCATATTTGCTGTTTTTCGTGCACGTGGACGTCGTTTGGTTACGGCTAAAATTTGCTCATAAAGATAATTTTCGATGCGACCAAAAATATGGACTGCATTGCATTAGCTGAAGATGAAAAGGTGTCAAAACGAAGTTAAGGAATCGCTTGAAAACTCTGAAAACTCACTTCCTCTCACTGACTGTCCGGATATCGGGCTTCCAACGGTGCCGTATGCAAAAGGAGTGTACTGAGGTGACGGCGAGGGATAGGCCGAGCTACTCCCGACGGAGCGATCGTCAGCGAATTCGAAAACATCTGGAGTAGCCGACGCAAGTCCAACAGCCGCTGCTGCACCGACGCTATGCTGAACAGTAGGTTGCTGATTCGATATCGCATATTAAAATTGGCTTCAAATGCCTTCCAAAAACAACACCATCAAAAACTGAAGGATGTTGACCAGAAATTGAGATTTTGTATGATTCTCTTCCTTACGTCATTATACAGGAAAACTCTTCATTATATAGAAAAACTCTACCGAGATGAGAGTTTATTCGAGAATTCAAGACGAACAATTTGCTCATATTAACGTGCAGCCCTAAGCAATCCCAAAGAAAAAACATGATGCGATATTTGTCACTATTGTAACTTAGCCAACCAGTAATGGAATCAGTTTATAAGCTCTTTTTTCCTTTGAAACATTTGTAATAGACACACCATTCCTCGCGCCAAGTGGTCACCTTGCACACAAATTGCACAGTTTCTTCCGTGGATATTGGTTCTTGCCATACGTGGGCGAATGGGTTCGCAGCCGCAGTAGGTGCCACTTTCCCCGTTCAAAAGTATTTGGAAATCGCAATGGTGGGTTATGAAACCCAAGTGCTGTCCTGACCCCGCTCGCCGCACGAGCAACCACGGACAAACACACTACTTGCTTGCTCGCTCTCACTTCAGGTTGTCCTGTATGGCTCAGCGTGTGTTCGCTGGTATGACGAAATTGCTGCATTTCGAGGGTAGCGCAGGCGGAGTCGGGAGACGGCCCCCGGGTATCACTACCACCCCCCCCCAACCCGTTTCTGTGCATCCTTAAGTGAAGAAAGTGGCACGGTACTGCAGCTGCGCCCCATTCACCTCGCATATGGGAGGGATTGGACTCGGAAGTGCAAGTTCGCCTTCGAGCAATCGCAAGAGGAGAAAGGTGTGCCGAAACGATTCTTGAAAAAAGTGTGTGGTCCTAATAGCCCATACAAGGTTCAACGTAACTGCTCGGGTTTACGTGATGAACTTGGTGGCTCTACTATGTGACACTATTATTGACAGTACAATTCACATTTTCTATGACCTGTGACGAGGGGCTTAGCTGATACTCTTTTATGATTCCACTCGATTCCTTCAATTATGCAAGATATTTACGATCATTGCAGGAAAAACAGCTCAAATTAAAAACCGTACTAAACAGAGCTCTTTTTACAGAAGGCATGAATCAGCCATAGCATTTGCATTCGGAAGAATTGTGAGCAGTGGTGATACTACCCCAATTTTTTTTCGAGTTGACTTCCAGATTTCAGCTTCCGAAGGTGCTACTACACCTTCGGAAGCTGAAATCTGGAAGTCAACTCGAAAGCGAAAGCTGAACAGTACGTATTTGCGATTGGGTACAATCAAAAGTCCAGTCACTAGCAGAACCGCCAACAATATATAACTTGAGCGCCCTCTTTCAGGAACAATTCTGAGCTTCAAACCGACCCTTTATATTTTAAATATCGATCAGATGTTCAGAAGGCGACATCACCAAAATACACTTACCGTCATTTTCAATCGAGCTGTTTCCAGAGGGCTCAACTGTGGTACAACACTACCAGGAGCGCTGCCACTGACACATCCAGGTGGACGTGACGGTGCCGGACTGGTTGAGTGTCGATTCGACAGCAATGGCGTCGGTGTTTTGTTATCGTCATCCATGCCGTCCGCTAACTGACAAATCGCCTCCTGTAAGATATGAATATCACACTCAACCTGTCCAAGCACCGTCAAGATGTTTCGTACGAACCGACGGTGGATTGTCATCATAATCGAGGATTGTTCGGTGGATGTTACATTAAACAAATCAACTTTTCAAAGTTAGCACGTCCAACTTTCTACGAACTATGTATCTGCGTGATGGCAATCTAACGTCAGCCGCCCGATTTCGAGCAAAAGTGACCCGAGATGGTGAAGACTTTTCTCTTTTACATGACACAACGAACCGAGAGGGCATGTCAGGAGTGAAATGGGCCCAAGCGCGCTACGTTATCTACCAATAGCTGCCCTCCTTATGCCGACCAGCGGCACAAAACATAGCGATCTTTGAAGGTCCAATAGGAAAGACACCATTTTCGGGTCACTCTTGCCACGTTTCCACCTAAAATTCGTACCAAATCTGATATCGCAAGAGCAGTGTCAGACTGCACACGTTGAGTACGAGCTTCCGCTCGGGCGGCAGCAGGTGGACGACTGCCACTTTCTGTGGTGATCTCCTTGTAAGAGGCGAGAAGTCCACCAGGTGTAGCTAACGGCACAGAATGCACTTCGAAAGTGAATTCTGGCACATAAGCTTGATGTGGCTTCTTTTCGTCTTTGCTTCTGTTCAACAACGGCAACCAAGCATGGCCAACTTTATCCATGCCCGACACACACGATTCATTATCCACTTCCATGAGAGTTTGGTCTGTACCGGCACCACTACTACGGACGTCTTCGCATCCCAGCTCCTTCAACACTCGCACCATTGCGACAGGAATAGACCGAGTCCTGCAATTTCATGAACTGATAGAGATCATAGGCTTACTTATGAAAAATAGGAAAGAAACTTTGAGCGCAGTTCGGCGACGGGGGGGGGCATTGTTACCATTTCCTCTCTGGTGAAACCTGCGACTCTTGTGAGCTAAAGCAAGATCGCCAAAATATCCAAAACCTGTCAACACAAGAAGAGGCTGTCTAGACAGGTCGCCACGTCGATGGGAAGCAGCAAAAGTGCAAAATGCCCCCCCCCCCCCTTCGCCGAACTGCGCCGAAATTGTGTATTTCAGCAGTTCTAAAGGCACTGGACACGAGCACTTGGTTCTCGATCTGAAATGGTAGCGGGGTGCTATCTAGAAAAATGGCGAAAAGGCGAAAGGAGACTGCAAAAAAGCCTTCATTCCACACGACTCAGAAAGTGAATTTAGACGAGTTCCCCGTTGGCATCGTGCCAATTACCACTAGATATAGCTGCGTGTATGTCGCGTATACTGCAGCACAGCAGCTGCTTCATATCTGTCCCTTCTACTTCTATCTATTCTATTTGATTCATATTGAACTTCGCAAATGAAGCGATACGAGCGCCAGCATTGGGCGGACATCTGTGGGCGACCAATCGCGGGTCCGCGTCGGCATGCTGCAGCTTGATAGGGCGCTATGAGGGTGCCCACCTTAGAAAAAATGCGCGCGCGCAGCGCTCGCTCAAGGGCGCAGAAATCTGTGTTGCGAGGCGTATACTGCAGTTCGCTGCGGACGGTT